CAAAAAACTAACATTTATGGTTTCACAGACATGTTAGTTTCAGTGTTTTGTTATTTGTGTCTCCAGGTATTTATTGAAGTTCTCTAAAAACTATTAAATAAAAAACTAACATCTATGCTTTTTCAGACGTGTTAGTTTTCAGTGTTTTGTTATTTGTGTCTACAGGTATTTATTGAAGTTCTCTAAAAACTATTAAACAAAAACTAACATTTGTGTTTTCACAGACGTTTTAGTTTTCAGGTGTTTCATTATTTGTGTCTACAGGTATTTATTGAAGTTCTCTAAAAACTATTAAACAAAAACTAACATTTGTGTTTTCACAGACATTTTAGTTTTCAGGTGTTTCATTATTTTGACATCTGTTAATGGTTTGCAAACAAGTTAGCTATTTACAATTCATGTGTTTAAACTTCGAGTTTATGTTTCTGTGCTCTTTAGTTCTAGATCCTATCATCTTTGATATTCTAAGTTAAGGTTTATAAAGTCCTTTGAAGTCCGTTATAATAAAATGTGAAAATTCTAGGATTTGAGTGTGTTATTATAAAGAGAAAGTTCTGTGTGTGTGTGTGTGTATATATACTTTAAAAATGTTTGTTTTGGGTTCTGTAGGACTACTGCTTTCACATGAATATTCAAGTTGAAATGACATGAATTAGGAGTAGCTATGCCTAATAATGCACTGTATGTACAGTCATCATAGTTATGTTTGAAAAGTCACCCACAGTCCATCAATTTATTACAAGGAAATGTTTTTTTAATCAAATGTCATAAGTGTCTTGATTATTTTTAGGAACACTTCTAAGTTCTCAGAATTATCTGTAAAAAATAAATCATTGTATTTTCTTACCTGTTTTTATTTATTTTTAATAATTCAAATATAATTTTCTCAACATAGGAATTACTCTAATAGTCACTCCACTAGTATCTCTAATGGAAGACCAGCTCATGGCTCTCAGGGCTTTAAAAGTTTCTGCAGCTGCACTGAATGCTGGCTGTTCTAAAGAAGAGGTTAATAAAGTTCAGAATGCCATGAAAGATAAAAACTCTGACCTTTGTCTCCTTTATGTGACACCGGAGAAGTTAGCCAAGAGTAAAAGGTTCATGTCTCTGTTGGAGAAAGTCTATGAAATGGGAAGATTTACTAGGCTAGCTATTGATGAAGTACACTGTTGTTCACAGTGGGGACACGATTTTAGGCCAGGTAATTCAAGAAAAACTGAAAGAGTTACAAATAATACACAAGATTTTAGGCCAGGTAATTCAAGAAAAACTGAATGAGTTACAAATAATACACATGATTTTAGGCCAGGTAATTCAAGAAAAACTGAATGAGTTACAAATAATACACATGATTTTAGGCCAGGTAATTCAAGAAAAACTGAATGAGTTACAAATAATACACATGATTTTAGGCCAGGTAATTCAAGAAAAACTGAATG